GATTTATTTAGATTATGGGACTCAATGAATGATAATGCTTCCAGAATAGCTATAGACTCACCAGAGAATACTGAAGCTTGAGGGGGGCATTTAAAATTGAGAATCACATTGTATTTGGGAATCCAGACAGCGGAGCCAACACAACCCTGGTCTGACAACTTAGAAGCATCAGTGTAAATGATCAGCCAATCGGACCAATGCTTGGCAATGTATCTATTTAACTGGGAATTTGCAGAATGACATTTTTTTTCTATGCCGAGATCTAAAAGAACTTGAGGCTGAAAGATAAGAGCCTTAAAAGAGATGTCGAAAAGAGGAAATTTTTGATACTGAAATACAGGACAAGGAAGGCGGAGATAGCTGACAAAACTATTGAAAAGGCAGGGATAATCCTTGTGGTACCAATATTTATTAGAAGAGATAAAATCAGAAAGGATATGGAGTTTAGTAGAGATAAGAGGATGATAAGGAGATTGAATGACTTTAAAAAGGAAGGTAGAGAGTAGTTGTAGGGAATAGAGAGGCAGTCGCGCAGATCGCGAGAGGGGCATTTAATACGTGGACGATTTTCATAGGGCGAGCGAGGCGATGGTGAAGCTGTCGGTCCTGTGCTCCTCCTCCGTTGTGTTGAAGTTGGACCCGAGTCTCTGCGACGAGAGTCTGTGGAGCTATGAAATCGTCACCTATTAATGCTCTTCAGGTAGAATGCGGCGATGCTCCCTTATTCCTTAGAAGACAATACTTATCTGACCGGTTCCTTTTTAAAGTCATTCAATCTCCTTATCATCCTCTTATCTCTAAACTCCATATCCTTTCTGATTTTATCTCTTCTAATAAATATTGGTACCACAAGGATTATCCCTGCCTTTTCAATAGTTTTGTCAGCTATCTTCGCCTGCCTTGTCCTGTATTTCAGTATCAAAAATTTCCTCTTTTCGACATCTCTTTTAAGGCTCTTATCTTTCAGCCTCAAGTTCTTTTAGATCTCGGCATAGAAAAAAAATGTCATTCTGCAAATTCCCAGTTAAATAGATACATCGCCAAACATTGGTCCGATTGGCTCATCATTTACACTGATGCTTCTAAGTTGTCAGACCAGGGTTGTGTTGGCTCCGCTGTCTGGATTCCCAAATACAATGTGATTCTCAATTTTAAATGCCCCCCTCAAGCTTCAGTCTTCTCTGGTGAGTCCATAGCTATTCTGGAAGCATTATCATTCATTGAGTCCCATAATCTAAATAAATCTGTTATTCTTACAGATTCTAAGAGTTGTTTACAGGCTATCGTTGGTAACCAATTTAAATCAAAATCTAAATTTCCTTACATACTAAAAATTAAAAATTTACTTTTCAGCTGCCATTCTAAAAACATTGAAGTTGTCCTTGCTTGGTTGCCTGGCCACAGTGGCATTTTAGGTAATGAAACTGCAGATCTTTGTGCCAAAGACGCCACAACAACTGGCTGTATGGA